TAAATCTGGGCCGTCCGTGCGCGCGATTGATCTGGGCCGTCCGATCGCGCGCATGCGAATCGCCAACGTGGCATGTCCCTGGTCGACGTGGTTTTGCCACGTGGCAGGTCCTGGTTGGCCAAGACTGCTGACTGGGTCTGCTGACGTGGCACGCGCGTTTTTTTTTTTCTTCAATTTTTTCAATTTCCCCGGGCGCTACAACTCTCCCCCCCTTAAAGAAATTTGGTCCCCAAATTTGCCTCGTTACTCTTGATCGAACAGATGGGGATATTGGGCCCTAAATTCTGATTCCAGTTCCCAGCTGGCCTCCCTGGGCGTGTGGTTCTGCCACACGACTTTTATAAATGATATTTCCCGGTTGCGGAGTATTCTGCTCTCTCGGTCCGTGATACCGACCGATACTTCTTCATAAGACAAGTCCTCTCGGAGTGGAAGCGGTTCATGAGCCAAGACATGAGAAGGGTCCGGGTTGTACTTACGTAGCATAGATACGTGAAACACATTATGAACCCGGGAGAGCTCAGGAGGCAGTGCAAGTCTGTAGGCAGTGGTACCAATCTTGTCTAAGATTTCAAAGGGTCCAATATATCTGGGGTTTAATTTTTCCCTCTTGCCGAACCTACTAATTCCCTTGAAGGGGGTGAATTTAAGAAACACCCGGTCGCCTTTCTCAAAGGCCAGGTCTCTCCTCCGGGTATCAGCATAACTCTTCTGCCTACTCTGAGCTGTCTGGATGTTCTTCTTGATCTTAACTATCTTAGACGTGGTTTCTTCTACCAAATCCGGGCCAAACAATCTTCTATCGCCCACTTCTTCCCAACAGATCGGTGACCTGCACGGACGCCCGTATAGCGCCTCGTATGGGGCCATGCCGATGCTTGCTTGGTAACTGTTGTTGTAAGCAAACTCTATCATGGGTAGGTGGTCGTCCCAATGGCCCCCGGAGTCAAGGACACAAGCTCGGAGCATATCCTCCAGCGTACGAATTGTCCTCTCTGATTGTCCATCGGTTTGGGGGTGGAAAGCAGTACTAAGAGACAGCTTTGTTCCCATAGCTTGCTGGAAACTATTCCAAAACTGAGAAGTGAATCTGGGATCCCTGTCGGATACTACTGTTACTGGAACTCCATGCAGTCTGACTACCTCCCGGATATACATTCTTGCCAACTTGTCCAAAGGATCAGTCATTCTGATAGCCAGGAAGTGGGAAGACTTAGTGAGTCGGTCAACAATTACCCATATAGCATCATGTCCCGATCGTGCCTTGGGTAGTCCCGATACGAAGTCCATGGTGATGTGTTCCCACTTCCACTCTGGAATCGGTAAAGGCTGAACTAACCCGCCCGGGCGTTGATGTTCTGCTTTGACCTGCTGACATACCAAGCACTTAGATACAAAGTCGGCTATATCTCTCTTCATTCCATTCCACCAGAACCGAGGTCGCATAGTTTGGTACATTTTCGTACTTCCTAGATGCATGGGGAACCTTGAACTATGGGACTCTGTCATGATGTCTCTTTTTAACTCACTGTCGTCTGGGACACACACTCTATTCTTGAACGAATCAATCCGTCGACAGAGATCTGAAATTCTGAGCTCACTCCCTGTTCTGCATCCTTCTTGCGGGTTACTAGGGCGGGGTCG